AATCGGCTAGCCATTTCAAAAGATTTCCATTCGCACCCACTTGAAGTGGTTTACATATAAGTCATCTGTGTAGAACACTGTCAAAAGCCTTTTTGAAGTCAATACACACGGCCTCGACTGATAAGCCGAGGTCGATTGATTTCGTCCTGCACTCCATGGATACTAGGAGGTTGGTGAGAGAGGATCGGCCCCTTCGAAATCCATGCTGATATAGATTGAGCAAGTTGTTGTCTTCGAGGTGTCGTATCAAATCCGTTTTTGCTACTCTTTCCATCAAATTGCAAGAGATACTAGTGAGACTCACTTGTCTGAAACTATTTGCGGCTGTTCTCTCGCCACCTTTATATATGGGGCTTATATTTACTTTCTTCCAGTCGGTTGGCAAAGCCCCGGTCTTCAACGAAGTTTTGAAAATCCTGGTGAACGGAGAGGCCAGTTGGTCTGAGAGTTCATTCAGAACTTTTGCGAACACGCCGTCCGGACCAGGGGATTTAGTGCACTGTAGTTGACACAAAATTTCCTTTGCCGTGTCTGTTGTGAAGTCCACCGTGCTAATTGTACTGTTTTATTTGAAAGTTGAGGGGGGGGGGTAAACTCTTTTATCAAAAGCCGGCTCCTCGGTATACACAGACGTGAAGAAGTCGGACAACAGATTCGCCTCGTCTGAGTTGTCAGACAATGTATTGCCCTGGCGATCTTTTAGGCAGGGAATGCAGTCCCGGTTGCGTTTTGCCTTATTTACGTATCCAAAGAATTTTTTAAATTTTGCAGGATACTTTTTAAAAGTTTTGACTCAGATTGTGTTCGTTCCCTCCTCAACAGTTTCCGAAATGCATTCCTCCGTTTTTTGAAGTCAGCGAAATGCTCTGGTTTTTGACATCTGGCGTACTTTTTCCAAAGTCCCCTTTTCAATTTAAGGTTCTTCTTTATTTCTGACGTCACCCACTCTGGTCGGGAAGTGCGCAGCTTCCTCTTCAGTGGACACAAGCTCTCTGCCAAGTATTGCATTATGTTCTTGAAGAACAGCCAATCGCTTTCTGGGTCAGGTCCTTGTGCTGAATTCCAGATCACCTTCTGTAGCAGGTTTTTTATTCGGGTATAATCCCCTTTCCATACGTTTCTTTCCTCAGCAGTTCGAATTCCGGGCACAGAAAAATGACTTTACTCCCAATCAAGAACGCAGTGGTCACTTCGGGACTGAGATGACTTTTTAGGCTAAAGTGCATGTTGAGATGGGATAATTAGGTTGGCATTTAGGAGATGGTCTAGAAATTGGTTGTAGGCTATTTTCTCGAGGATTTTAGCTATTGCCGGTGTTCGGTAAACACCCCGATAGTTTTGGGTATGAGGTCGGTAGCCACTTTTAAAGATAGGTGCAATGATAGAGAATTCCCACATGTCTGGAAAAAATGCATCTGACTGGACTAGAGTGAATAACTTAGATGGGAGTATTGAAGCATATGCTTCAGAATACACGGCGAGATTTTGGATTTTGTCCGTTCCACAGGAGCTGGCATTGGAGAATTGTTTGATGGCCACTTTAGCAGTTTGTTCACCAAAACGGATTTCAATAACGATGCATTCTGTCATTTCGGTCATTTGGGGGATCGCTCCCTCCTCGACTGTGTAGTAATGTATGTTTGTATGTCTATAAGAGAGAGGGAATAGGCCAAGCAAATTCAGCCTCTCCTGATAAGACAAATGCTTTAGACCGACGTATTTATTGAATGAGGGTGCGATTAGACCTCCCTTCTCGATTTTCTTAGAGTCTGTCTCGAAAACCGATATCACGGGGTGCAAATTCGAAACGTAATCTGGGAATAATCCCCTATTACCGGTGGAGTACTTAAAGGCATCGAGATTCAAGGTCAAGCCGCTGGTTGTAAATTTGAAGATAAGTAGAGGATGTTATTTTAAGTGCTTTTTCTGTGAGATCTTACGATCTTAGCCCCTGTTTTTCGTTAAACTTCCTCGAATTCAGGCCTTTTCACTCAGAACAGCCTGCTGCCATCTCCTTTTAAGTTCTACTAGTCTGTGCCTGTTGACCACCAGTAGCACTATGCAATTCGCACTATGTGCATTCGATTTTCCTCTAACTATGAAATTAATTTTTAAATCGTTAGCCTCTAGCTGAAATTCAGTCATCTTGTGTGCTAGAAGTTTTCTTAATCACAAGCTGCCTCGAGACAAATGAAAGTAAAAATCACAGGTCAGCGTAAGCTCCCGGCATTTGTATATAAGCATGGCTAGACTAAATCTGAGTCAGAAGGCTTAACTAAATCTTATTCAGAAAGGTTACCTAAATCTACGCCAGCAGATATAACTAGTCAGTCGTCACTCACTGTAACCAGTGGGCAGCTGAATCTGTCTGCCCTCGACAAATGCAATGACTTTATGCTAAAGTTTGGCAATTTTCTGTCGGTCATAATACAAGTGACTGTGAGGATTCAGCTAGTCCTACTCATGCGACATCTAAGTCCCTCCTTCCCTTTACTTCTCCATCTCACTCAAGCCACTTGACGCATTTGCCTGCCCCTAAACTAACAGTAGCAGCAGCCCCATTTTTCGTTTCGTATACTCCGGATAGCCCGCTGGGACAGATGAAAATCCAGACATTAACTGTGTCGTTATTAGTGTAAATCATTGCACAATTCTATACTATTGACTGCCTGTTGGCGGTTTGTGAATATTAAGCGGCTATTCCGCAGTAGCAGATGGATTTTAACTCAAAAATTCATATCAAACTTCGCACCTTGCCTGCAAAGGTCTGTTTCGAATTAGTTACTCCAAGTTCGGGCATTAGTTTCCTCAGAAATTAAACAACCCTGCCAGCACCAGCCCCCTCTGGCACCCTCATGGCCCCGCCTCATGAGGGGGCTATGGCGGGCCAGAGGGGGTTATGGCGGGGAAAATCCCCGATGTGGCCCCCTCTGGCCCCCTCATCGACAAAAAAAATGCGCAGGGGGACGCCTTATAGTTATCGTTTTTTGTCCCCACCCACGGCCATATTAGACTGTCTGACCGTAATACCGATCCATTAACGTCTAATTACTCGCGTTATAATCCTGATCACCCTTTTCCTAGACAGATTTTCCCCGATATCTGTCCTATTTTATCCCTTGTTACCTTCTAGCGAACACCATTTCGCCAAATATGTCTTGTTTCATTCCGACTCGCCTTCCCAAAGCCAATATCTCCCGCGACCGTTAGCGGACCTTCACGCGTGATTGCAAACCCCCCAACGAACCATATCAATCAGCACACTTGAACGCAATTTATTGGTTGAAGAAAATTTATTGATCGATAAAGATGAAAATTTGATATGTACAAACTGTCATGTTTCCTCAAGGGACATATTTGGTAATTCGTCCATGTCGGTGGCGGGTATCTACAATAAAATAAAGCACAGTGTCCTATTAATTAAAATGTCCAAAAACATACTATTGAAATAAGGCATTTTAGTAGTACATTTTATGATCTAAGTAGTTTGTAGTTGATAGGCTGGAATAAATGCAGGTCTAATAGATATAAAGACTTAAGTCAACATGAAGATCCGTCTACACCAGCTAGACCGACAGATCCCCCACTTCAACAGGGTGCTGCAAGCTCTACTGTTAAATCACCCGTTCCTTAGCGTCAGTACGGTGAGACTCCAAAAGTGAATCAGATTTCGATCTAAAAGAAAGTTAGTACAGTTCCATTTGGGAGTATGCCTCTGTCTCTTAGATCTATCAAGCCTCTACAGCTCAGCACCTCTCCAGACCCCGCAGCTCCAATTATATCCCCAAATAATTCTCTGTTCTGAGTGCCGGTTACTTACCAAAGCCCTACCATATATCCAGCGAATAATTCATACGTGAATTGCCCTTAGTAATGTATGTCCCAACCTAGTTCAGACTTCCCACCACTTGAGGCCAATCGCTCTCAGGTAAGTCAACCTACCTCATTTGACTTCCAACCTAGACCGGGTTTCCCACCCTTTTATTTTTATAGCTGCCTACCCTCTCCCACTAGCCTCTACTTTCCTTCTAGGCTCCCTCCTCCTCCACTTCCTCCACAAATTAACAACCAAAAAGCCTATCCATGTTCTAATTCCCCTAACATTCTAATTTTCGAAAGCTATATCTTTACATCTTTTAGGTCTCATATTCAGCCTTCTCTTGCTGCCTCCACATACGTCAATTACTCTTGACTAACTGGTACTTATTCTCCAAGCATCATTAAATCATAGCTTACATATCCGCCTCCAATTTTTTTAAAAATACTGTAGAAAATAACATTGCTGTTCGAAACACATTTGATATTATATTATTGAATGCCGGATCAGTTATCAACATGATGGCCCAAATCAGAGTCATTGCTCTCGTAATGACGCCTGATATTATATGTGTAACAGAATCCTGGACCCATTCTCTAATTCCTTAATCTGTCCTTCTCATAGAGGATCTTGATTTTTACCGCCAAGACCGCACGACAGGCATGGGGGTGGTTGTCTTCTTTATCTTAAATCCCGCCTAAAGCACTCTCCCTATTACTTGGACGTTTCCACATTCACGGAAAACTTCTGCTTTGCATCTGTTATCTTCTCGCCGCAAAGGAAAGCCACTATTGGCTATATCTACAGTCCCCAAAATTATTTATCCAGTGATGATTCACAACTATGTGAAATCTTTAAATTAATTTCGGAAGCTGCTTTCGATGTTAAAATAAACAGTGGGAATTTTAACCTTCTGAAATAGACTAGGTTTCTAATAGCTGTCCACCTAGATTCCAGCCCTTTCAAGATATCGTCAATTTTTCTAACTGGTCCAATCGGTCCGCTCTACAACAAGAGATAATCACGACTTAGACCTAATCTTTACCATTGGCATCGTCCGTCTATATGCTGGATGATAGTGTTGGGATGTGGGAGCTGTGGTATACTCGACGGTTGTCTACCGCAAGTTTACATCAAGGCTGAGCTGTCCTTATTGACTCCCGCGGCGCGTAAAAGTGCGTGTTCAATAAGGGTATTTGAGGTGGATGCGCCGAGTGTAGATAGATGCTGGAGGCACTACATCGTCGGTCTCTGTGCGATGGGTTGCCAACTGACCGAATGTGCTGTTGAGCGAGATCACTGTGCAATCGCTATTACGACAGGCATGAAGGCAGTCCACGTCGTTAGAGGTAAGAAGTGTGGGATGTTTGAGATGGACGTCGGGCATCGTCCCATCGGCGGGAGGAGTACGTGAAGACGTGGCCGTGGTGGTGCTGGCCACTGCGGTCGATAAAATGGTTGGGGCAGGGAGGGTTTTGTAAGCGGATTGTGCGGCGGGGCGGCGACAGTGTGATTGCCAGTGAGGGTGGTGACGGTCGGCCCGGGATTTGCCGTAGGGTCGAGAGTGAAAGAAGAGGTAGACGTTGTCGGGTTGATGGCGCATTGGACCCGAAGATGCCCAAAAGACCGCTTCGTGCGAACAATGCGTATTGGTGGGTCGGAATCGACGGATGGTTAACACTGAGTAGGCTGGGCACTTGTGACTTCCGAGCCTCTCCTTTAGTTTTGGCAGCGGCGATCCGATTCGCTCCGTAGATGGCAGCGCCGGTCTTCACTTCTCCTCTCCAGACCGATCTGTTCTGACGAGGTCCTCCCAGGTCTCTGGAATGATATGCAATCACCGGAGAGTATTCTTCAGTGTGCCCTTTTGGCGTCGTTTTGACCCTCTATGTCGGTGAGCGCCAGTAGCAATGTCATTATAGAGGTTTCTCGGTAATCCTGTGTCTTCCATCTGCCCGAGATGGCCGCTCCAACGTAGCTGTGAGGGCCTCAATATGGCGTGAATGCTAATGACACCGGTCCGTGCTGAAACTTCCGCGTCCGGGACCCTGTCTTGCCATTTCAGCTTTCGTATTCTGCAAAGGCACGTGAGATGGAAATGGTTAAATTTCTTGAGATGATTAGAATACACGGTCGAAGTCTCCGCTTTGTAGCGAAGTGTCGTCAAGACGACGACATGCACATTTTCAGTTTGATATTCAGGTGGAGGCTGTAGCGATTCCACACGGAGTTCTGAAGTCGGCTGAGGGCTTGACTGGCTCCGGAGATCCTGTGGACAACCTCATCGTCAATTCTGGTGCTGTTGGAAAGTGTGCTTCCGAGCTAAGCAAACTTCTCCACGGTTTTGAATTGGTGACCGTCGGCCGTGATTCGAGGAGGAGTGCAGTGTTGTGTGTTGGGTTATACTTGGTGCATACCACCGTTTTGTCCGTGTTTAAGGGCAGGCCGAAGCTGGCGTACCCGGCGATTATCAAACCACCTCTAATACAGAGCACGTTGTTATTTGCTTTCTAGACCAGCTGTTATGTTTTCCTGCCATGATTTTGGAAGTCATACATGAACTTATGTACATTAACCAATAAACATAGGGCAATGGAATTTATTCTGCGAAATCGTGGTCTTTGAAAGAATACTTTTGATATAGGTCCGAGTATCCAACCGTACACCACACATAAAACTCAAAAATCACTTAATTGACCAACCATTACTGTTGATCTTCAGTTATCTTTTCACGGCATTGAAAGTCCGCACAAATTGCGAGGAACGTAAAAGCCGTAATAAACGGAGTAAATAGGCAAAAATAGGTCACGACAATTTTAGAAATAACTTAAACCTTTTTCGAAAAGGCCGAAAAATATGCGCGAACGACCTGATTAGCGCGAGATGGGAGGCAAGCGGTGGCCAATGAGAAGACAGAATGGCGGAGGCGGATGGCAGAACTATCATAGGACAAAGAAATGGCTGAAGTGGATGACCCAGACAGCCCCTAGGCCGTCAAAAAAGAAGGCCAAGCGTTAGCGGTTATTCGCAAGTGAATGCCAGTAAGTAAAGTATTATTACCTAGTAAGGTTTACGAAATCCTAGCGACAAGCATGCCGGACAGTAGTAGGCGTGGTACCCAGTGCTCTCGCGCCTCTCCAAACGAAAGTTGCAAGCTGGTTTGTCGAGGAGAGGGAGACTCGGTCACGAAAACAAGACCGGATTTCGGCGATATGTCCAGCTAGAGTCCCTTAGACACTATCGAATACGCTGCCGTAGACAAAAGGTACACACGTAGACGGCGACCGTCTCCGGTCATTCGATCGACAGTGTGACTGACTATGGTAATCCAAAGAAAATCACTAAAAACAACTTCTCAAGTACCGAATACTATATGAAACGTGAACTAAGGAGTGGTCTATGACCCCCAACCCCGCGGCCGAATGGAAATGTTCTTTCAAATACCACAGGAGAAATACTCAAGGCGTGTTGCCTCTTTGTTTCATAAATGTTACCCCAACATGAATGCAAAACATCGACTCTGATTATTTTCACTGTTTTTCGGGAGTCCCTGAGGAGATAAGTGAATCACAGCCAACTTGAGTTGTGCAACTTTGTGTCAATAATGTGACCGTATGTGTGAAACCACTAAAGATATATCACACGCAGAGGGCGTCGTCGATCTTTAAAACTGATCGTAATGAAGGCAAATGGCGTCAAGTCATCTTAGCGGACGTTTGTACTTGAAATTAAGAAGTCAATGTGACTTTTCGGGTTAAATGTTAAAGAAGCAGATTGAATTGCAGAAGAACGGCAGCTTAGGAAATACCCATGACAATTGAAAGGTGCATGTCCCAGAAAAACATTTTATACATATTGCTCCTCTCCGTAGCATCTCTGTTATTCCCTAGTCGATTTGACAACTCGGATAGTATTATGGGAACTTAAAGACGTTGATTTTTTCTCCATACGGTTCAAGTAAACATAAAACGCAATGGTTATCCAGGTGGACTTTAAATATCAAGCCTCGAACTTTCGGCTGTAGACATGTCTTCGTTTATCACTGTTGAAACGCAAATTTCTCACGCCGGTCCACCCCAAGTTATTGGGTCGGAGGTAATCTAAACTGAAGCATATCGGCTACTTAATTGACCAAAGTAGGCCAACTTGTATACATCATCAGCAGAATGACTGCTGCGTCTTGCTGAGTTCTAGAGCACTTCCCCGCTTCTCCGACAAAAATTCGATAATGATCATAGATACTGTAGTGCGATTCCCCATATCTGAAAACAACAGACACGGTCAGCAAAACTGCAACAGTTTTTCTGAAATCGGAACTCAGAAATCCTAAAATACTGGGATTTCACATAATCCAGCGACTAAAGTTCGGACTACCTCTGCGACATGAGCAAAAACAACAGCGTCTTTGGCAAAGTTAAAGTAGTAAAATTAGGCCCAGTCGCGCTATAGGTAATGCGGCCCGACTTGCAGTTCTGCCTCTGGCACGCAGCCTCGATGACAGAAAGTCAATTTAGCTCGGTACGTTTAACTGCTCCTCAGGTTACTTGATTGCTCACATTTAATCAGAGACTATAAGGCATATGATAGCGTTATCTCTCGGCCTTTCTGTTGGGAGTG